TAACCCCGGCACTATGGGGGCGAAGTGTCCTGGAATCAGCTCCAGTTAACGGTCCTGGTGCTCTGTAGGGACATTGCAGTCAGTGTGGGGGGACATCTAGCGTCATCGAGCTCCCAGGCCCCACGGTGGCCTGTTGGGTGCTGAGTGGGTACCTGGGGTGCTCAGTCCTGGCTGGGAGGGGCTCAGCGGGGCCGGGAGTGGGGCCTGCCCCTGATCCTGTCCTCACCCTGCCCCAGTCCCCCACGGAGAGCTGCGAGCTGCTGGCAGACATCCAGACCTGCATCCAGAAGAGCCTGGGAGAGAAGCCCCGCCGGACCCGCTCCAAGGCTGCCAGTGGGTCACTGTCCCCAGGGCTGGGGGGTTGGGCACGTGCCCATGGACCCGGCTCAGCCTCTCCCGCCTGCAGCCCCCCAGGAGCCACCATGGGTGGAGGTGCTGGTGGAGATCCTGCTGGCCCTGCTGGCCCAGCCCAGCCACCTGATGCGCCAGGTGGCCCGGACTGTGTTCAGCCACGTGTGTGTCCACCTGACCCCACGGGCTCTGCAACTGATCCTGGATGTAAGCTGGGGTGTGTGGGGAAGTGGGGTCTGGGCCGGGGCTTGCCACAGGATGAGGGCCCCCTCGTCATTGCCGTAACGTGCTGAGTGGTTGGGAGCCTCGCCGGACAGTGCTGTGCTGTCCCCCAGGGTGTGTCCTCCTCTCCCGGTTCCATCCTCCTCCCTGAGATGGGGGTCTCTGGGCTGAGACCGGAAGGGGCCTGGTGTGGGGGGCGGTGACTGCGGTGACAGGTGCGTCAGCTGTCGGGTAATCTGTTCAGGTGCTGAACCCTGAGAAGAGCCCAGACGAGGACAACGTGGTGGTCACGGATGATTCCGAGAAGCAGTCGGAGAGTGGTGAGGTGCGTGCAAGGAGAGGTGGGCGGGCGGATGTGGGGCGGGCAACGGGAGGTGTAACACAGGGGACCCCGCAGGACAAGAGCTCAGACAGTGAGGACGACAGACCCTCGGCCGACGAGGATGACAGTGACGACGAGGACAGCAACGAGGAGGACCGGGACGGGGACGTGGACCAGGGCTTCCGGGAGCAGCTCATGGCCGTGCTGCAGGCAGGGAAGGCGCTGGTGAGCAGTGGCGGGGCGCGGGGAGGGCGGCGGGGCGCGCCTGCCGCCAGCGGCCAGCGGCTCAGCGGGCATCTGTCCCTCAGGGCGCGGTGGACGGAGAGGACGACGACAACGAGGAGCTGGGGGACGAGGCCATGATGGCCCTGGACCAGAACCTCGCCAGCCTCTTTGCTGAGCAGAAGCTGCGCATCCAGGCCCGGAGGGACGAGAAGAACAAGCTGCGGAAGGAGAAGGTGCTCCGGCGAGACTTCCAGATCCGGGTGAGTGCAGGAGGCACCTGCGCCCCCCCGCCGCCCCCCTGCACGCCCTGCACCCACTGACCCGTCCCCCTGGCCACAGGTCCTGGACCTGGTCGAGGTGCTGGTGACCAAGCAGCCCGAGAACCCGCTGGTGCTGGAGCTGCTGGAGCCGCTGCTGGACATGATCCGCCGCAGCATGCGCACCAGCAGCTCCAAGCAGGAGCAGGACCTGCTGCACAAGACAGCCCGCATCTTCACGTGAGCGCGCGGGCGGGGCCGGCGGGAGCAGGGGCTTGGGACCAGAGCCTGGCGCAGGTCCCCGCAGGAAAGGGGGATGTGGACCTGCCGGCCCCAGCGAGGACGGGGCCAGACCTGAGGGCCCGAGGAGCTTCACGGAGGAGCTGGCAGGGCGGGACGGACCGCGCCCCCCACCGCACGTCCTTGCCAGCCCAGGTTGCGCTCGCTCGGCCGGCTGTCCCCGCCACCTGCCGGGGTTGAGTCTGTGGATGACCTGGTCCTCGTGCCCTGAGCACTGCGGACCCGAGTCTCAGGGCCCAGAAGCCTCTGTCCTAGGGGAGGCAGGTTTGCCCGTGTGGCAGGCTCAGCCCCAGGCGCTGGTTTCTCCTCTCTCTCACTCTCCGCAGAGCCACAGGTGGCCCCAGGCCCACCTCTGCCTCCGCGGTCAGACCCCTGTCCTCTGGGTTCCTGTCTCCCCCCCCGTGTACTAGGACGCGCGGGGGAGCGGGCTCTGCTCGGCGGGGCGAGGCGGACAGTGGTGACCAGCTCCTCCACCCTCTCCCCCGACACAGACACCACCTGTGCCGCTCCCGGCACTACTGCCACGACGTAGGCCGCAGCGTGGGGGCTCTGTACGCACAGGTGGAGCGGCTGGTGCAGCAGGCCAGCCGCCAGGCCGATGCCTCCCTCTCCCTCTACTACTTCAACGCTGCCCTCTACCTGCTCCGCGTCCTGAAGGGCAACAGCACCGCCGCCGCCGTCTGCAAGCCCCAGAAGAAGGAGAAAGCTGGCCCCAAGCCCAGGGACCCCAAGGTGAGCCGGCCCCAGCCCAGGAAGCCTCGGCCGCTGGAGCCTGGCTGCAGGGTCACGGAGGGGAAGTGGAGGCTGTGACTCCCAGGAGCCGCCTCCCAGCTCCCCGAGGACGGTTGTGCCCGTCCCTCTCCCCAGCATCATGCAGCTGCTCTCCCCCGTGGCGTAGGCTAGCGGCGGCTTGGATCTGAGCCTCGTGACCCCGATCTTCTCCTCGGCACTGACCTCCTTCCTGACCAAGCGCAACAGCCCACTGACCGTGCCTATGTTCCTCAGTCTTTTCTCGCGGCACCCGGTGAGCGTCCAGGCCGGCCCGCCCCCGGGATCCCTGTGCGGCCCGGCCCAGCTCATTGCCCCATGCTGTCGTCCGTAGGTTCTCTGTAAGAGCCTGCTCCCCGTTGTGATCCGGCACGTGACAGGCCAGGCACGGCCCCGCCGTCAGGTAGGCCTGTCCCGGACCCCAGCCCTGGACCCCAGTCCCGGGCCTGTCGAAGTTACCCGCGTGACCGTCTCCACCCGGGTGTTTGGGAGGCCCTGGAGAAGCCCTGGTGAGGGCACAGGGTCACTGTCGGGAGGGAAAGCTTCACCCCCACCGCTGCCACCCGCCATGTGGCCTGAACCCCGAGCTCCTTGACGTGTGCACTCGGACGTGGCCGTCACCCAGGGCCGGGCTGACGGGCAGGCCTCAGGAGGGCACTGAGCTGACTAGTGGGCCGTGCACTGTCTCCACTGCCCCTGGCCTCGGCTCCTGCACCTGCCTGGGGAGAGGGCTGGGCCCAGGTGGCGGCCGCTCCCGGGGCCCGTGGAGTCCGCCTGTGGCTCCCTGAGCTTTGGGCAGCTGCACTGAGGCCCCCATCCTGCCCCCGAACCAGGCCCAAGCCTGTGTGCTGCTCCAGAAGACCTTGCCCACGCGGGAGCTGCGGCTGTGCTTTGAGGACCCTGAGTGGGAGCAGCTGGTCAGCCAGATCCTGGTGAAGGTCACAGAGGTGAGGGTCTGTGGGCCCCTGCTGCGTTCCCACTGGGGTGGGTCTCTGGGACCCTGGGCTTCAGCTGGGGCTGGGCTGCCCCATCAGGGCCTTTACCCCCTCGGGGCTCTGGTGTTGAGCAGGCGTCTTCCCTAGAACCTGCGGACGCTGGGGGATGCGCAGAGCAAGTCGGAGCAGCAGCAGGAGCTGTCCTCCCTGGGGCTGCTCAACACCCTCCTCAGGACCGTCCATCAGGAGGTGGGTGGCGTGCCGTGGCAGGGACGGAGTGCGGGCCGGGCTGAGGGGGGCCCGCCCCTTAGGAAGATGCCAGGGAGGGCCGCGCCCAGTGGAGGGAAGTGTTCGTGGACTGGGTGGCAGCTGGGGAGGTCGGTCCCTTGGTCCAGCCCAGGACGGGGTCCTTAGCAAGGATGCTGGTGGTGGGGGTGGGAGAATGTGGGACCCAGAGCCTGGCAGGGGCCCTGTCTCTGGTCCCTGTGGCAGCCCCGGTGTGTCCCGCCCGCAGAAGCTGACCGTGGACCTGACCGGCGTGCTGGGCGTGCTGCAGAGCCAGCAGCAGAGGCTGCAGCTGGGGGGGCGCTCGACCGGCTGCAGCCGCCTCTGCGACCTCTACTGGCAGGCCATGAAGGCCCTCGGAGTCCAGTAGGTTCTGGGGGGGCCTGGCGACCCCCTTGGGCAGGGAGCGCGGTGGAGAGGGCCACACCTCTCACTGGGCACGCCCTTATGTTGCACCCTGTCTCCAAGGCGCCCCAAGTCACAGAAGAAGGAGGCCAGGGAAGTCCCCAAGGTCACGCAGAGCCCCCTTAGCACGAAGAGGAAGAAAAAGGGGTTTTTGCCGGAAACCAAGAAGCGCAAGAAGCGAACGTTGGAAGGCACGGCACCAGCGGAGGAGGCCAAGCCCACGGCCTCTGGGGGCGACCAGCCCCCCAGCACAGGCAAGAAGAGGAGGAGGAAGAGGAAAGCCCAGAGGCCCGCCCAGGCCAATGGGACAGCTGCCACCAAGAGGCCGGCCCCAGATGCCACGAGTCCCAGCGCTCCTGCCAAGACCCCTAAGCTGCAGGAGAAGCAGCAGCAGCCCTCCCAGGTGAACGGAGCCAGGCCTGCGTCCCCCGCGGCGCCCGCCGGCAGAAAGCAGCCTCAGAAGGATCTGCCCGAGAAGGGGGTGTCTGGCAAGTCACCACAGTCCACGCTGCCGCGGAAGAAGGCCAGGTTGTCTCTGGCCAGCAGGAGCCCCAGCCTGCTCCAGAGCGGGGCCAAGAGAAAGAAGGCGTCGCTCAAGAAGGCCAGGAAGCCCTGAGCCCCGAGAGCCCTGCGTTTGCCCCGCGGCGAGTACCGGGACTGGAGGGACTCGCGTGTCCTCTGTCCCCGCACGCCCCCCCCCCCCCCCCGGGCGGCTGTGCCCTGGGAGCCAGTGCGGTGTGATTTAAATAGGTTTATTCCTTCATTTACAAGAGGAACATATTTGGCTTCTCTCTTAAGACTCTGAGATTCACGATCAGCAGCTCTGAAAAATAAAGGAGCAGTTTGGCTTCCGGAAGGAAGAGGAGGCAACACTTGGACGTGGTTCTTGTACAACAAGAAAACATCGCTGGGGCCCCCTGTTGGGGCCGGGCTGGTCTTGGGGGTCCCACCCCCATAGGTGCCCCAGAGCTTGGTGAGGAGCGGGTGCCGCTAGCTTGCACACCCACAAGCCACACCAGCTAACTACGGGGTAGTGCGTCGTCGGGGCCGGCACCTCGATTCCAGCCGGTGTGCGGGAGCGCGTGGGGCAGGGTAGGGTGAGCTCCACCAGTAGGCAGGTGTGGGGGTGGTGGCAGGGCCCCTGAGCACTGCGGCAGCCGGCCTGGGGTAAGGGCCTCGCTCCTGGCCCTTTTCCTGGGACAGGAAGCCTCATGGGGTGACGACTATCTCCAGCAGCTAGCACCCTGGGCCCTGCCCCTGGGGTGGGGGGCGTGTGGCTCCCACACCCAGGCCTGGGGCACAGGTCAGGTGCAGCGGCCGCCAGGGCCTTCACCCCTGGAGACGCCGGCTCCCCAGCAGCTGGCCCCCCCCCCCCGGGGGTCCTGCAGGCAGCAGAGACCAGTGTCCTTCGCAGGGACCAGCCAGGCTGGGAAGCGCCCAGCCACGGGCACCCGGCTCTGCCCGCTGGAGTCCATCGTCCCCGAGGTCAGAGTGATCCCCGTGTCCCCGAGCGTGAGGTTGGACCCCCCTCCTCTCCACAGTCCAGGAGCCGCTAGGCCTTCAGAGATGCCATGTGGGGAAATCCAGCCGTCCAGCCCCATGGTCTGGGGACGGCAGAGGCTTGCCCGGGACCCTGTAAGGCAGGGACAGGCCAGGCTCTCCCCATAAGCCGACTGGAGGTGGTCTTCGTCCCGGGCCCCAGGGGGTCTGCAGCCCAGCCCCGGGGCTGGGAGTCTGTGCAGCCGTGTGGCTTCCCCACACATATCCTTCCACGCTCGCCGAGGACACGGCCTCTCGGAGCCACAGCCACTCCACAGCCCCAGACCAGAGAGGGTGGGTGCCCAGCCTCGGGTCACACACAAAGCTTCGAGATGGCCCAGCAGGGCTGGGGTGCCGTGGAACGCCTCCCAAGTAGGGTGTCAGTGAGGGGTCTTCATGGTCCCAGAGGCACCTAGAAAGAGGGGCCAGGTCACAGGGGCTTTGGAAGCGGCCAGTCCAGACTGTCCCTTTTGTCTTCCTGCTCTTTGAAGAAACGGGCTTGTCCCTGGGCTCTGGGGGCATCACGGGGACGAAGGGGAGGGCTGCTGGGAAGAGCAGCCCCCAGAGGCTGGGCTCAGAGGAAGGTCAGCTTAGGACCTGGCACGCTTCTTGGGGGCAGGGGAGCACAGTCCCGGATGGAGTAGGGGTTCCCGCCAGTCCCAGCCCCGACCTCTGCCCTCAATCCCTTCTGAGGAAGGAAGCGGGAGCCTGCCTGCCCCCTGACCCAGCAAGTCGGTGCGGGCCACATTTCAAGAGGAAGATGGCCCTGGTCCTAGAGCTGGTAGGAGGTGCCTTGGGAGAAGCTGCTCCTGCTTCTGGAACATTCCCCAAGACCCCCACCCCTCCCCTCCTGCCAGGAGCTGCTCAGCCCGCCTGCACTCACGGCCTCAGACTTTGACAGATGCAGGCGGCATCACCAGCTGGTTCACCCTGGGGGAGAGACGGGCGGGGGTCAAGGTGGTGGGTCAGCGGCGGCCGGGCCCGGGCACTGCTCTGGCACATCGCATCTCGGGGGCCGGCTGGCCGGACGTGCCGGGCAGGGACCTCGTCAGCCCCAGGGGAAGGTGGGAGAGCCCAAGGGTGGGGAGAGGAGATAGAGGAGCAAAGAGGAGAGAAGAAAGAAGTCAGAAAACCAGAGGAGAAGGCGGGCCAACCACTCAGCCCCTCTCCCTGAAAGCCTGTCCCCAGCCTGGGCGTGCGAGTTGTCCACAGACCCTCCTGCGGGCTGGGCATACGGGTCCCTCCAGCAATCCTGGGCGGCCAGGGGACCTGCTAGCTGTCCCCCTCCCACAAGCCTGGGCAGCCAGGGGACCCAAATGTGCCAGCTGTCCCCAGCCCTGCAAGCCTGGGCAGCCAGGGGACCCTCCTGAAAGCCTGGGTGGCCAGGGGACATGCATGGGCCAGCTGTCAGCTGTCCCCCTCCCGCAAGCCTGGGCCACAAGGGGACCCCATGTGCCCCCTGCCAGCAGGTGCCCAACCCTGCCCACTCACTGCTGCTCAGCCTTGGCGCGGTCGCCGAGGAAGAAGAGGGCGGTGGCGAGGAAGAACATGCCGCCCAGGACCACCACGAAGGGGCAGAGCATAAGTGCGTAGCCCAGGCTCAGGAACTCCCAGAGCGGGGAGTCCTTGGTGCTCTGGCGGATCTGGTCCGAGATCTGCGGGAGCGGGAGTGGGTCAGGAGGTGCCTCCCACCCCACAAGGCCGCTCCCAGCCACCGGTACTCACAAAGCCGATGAGGTAGGGGCTCCCGGCGTCCCCCAGCAGGTGGGAGGTGAAGCTCTGCAGGGCGACAGCCGTGGCTCGTCTCGTGGGGATGACCACGTACTGCAAAGAGGCCGCAGGTCAGACGCCACAGGGCACAGCCACCGGCCTCGTCCCTGGGGTCCCCATACTCCTAGGGTCCCTGGGGGCAGGCTGCCTGAGGTTCTGCCCTGGGCGTGTGGCCGGGAGCCTGTGCGGGGGTCGCAGGAAATGGAGGCCCGGCACATGGACGACACGGGGGCTGCGGCAGCGCTGGGACTGGAACCTATAAGCCGAAGACCGTGCTGGTTCCCCTCCATGAGGACGTGGCGGGGCCCAGGCTGCTCTGCCTGGGACAACCCTCACACCGATTTCCCGCTGCCCCCAGAGCCAGGAGCCCACCAGGCTAGGCAGGTCTTCCGAAGCCTCGGAGCAGCTGTGGGGGGGCAGCCCACAGGGCCCCTCCTTACAGGGCTGGGGGAGGGGCAGCTGGATACAATGGGACTGCGTGGCCCCATTTCCAGCAGTGATCAGTCATGTGGCTGTGACAATAAAATGGGACAGGATTTCCCTGGGACCCAAACCCTGCCAGCAGCTGGGGCTGCCCCCAGGGGCAGAGGCAGGCACGGGAGTCCCGCCCAGCGCCACAGACTCGCTCCTCCCTTCACTCTCACCCCTGCCACTGGCCTGGGTCCACGTGAGCCCAGGGCTGAGTCAGACCCCCCCACTCCCACCCACGGATGGCCTCCCAGTGAAGCAGGGTGGGCTTCCTGGAGGAGAAAAGCCAGTAGGAGCCCCCCACGCCAGGCTGACTCTGATCCCCTGGGCTGTCCCATAGTGTGGCCCAGACCCCAAGTGACATCCCTCTCCCGCCTCCCAGGGAGGCCTGGCCTGCTGGCTCCCTCTCTCCCTACAGCAGGCCCTGCGTTCCCTTCTCCCAGCCCCTCCTGGCCCTGAGCAGGGAGGATGTCCCCCCAAGTCGCCCCCCCACAGTGCCACCCCCTCCTGGTTCCTCCCAGGGACATGGCCCCTGCCGCTGCTCAGACGGCCCTTTGTCCCTGGCTGGTTGATCCAGCGCCCATTGTTGGCCTGTGAACACCGCCTCTGTCCGCCCAGCCCAGCCGCGGGCTCTCAGGCAGGCGCCCCCGGGACCCAGGCTGGGCTGGGAGAGCCGGGCCCCGGGAGCTTGGACCAGGTGGGGGGTGCACGCTGGCAGGCAGCACCCCCTCAGGCCAGCCTGGCAGTGCCAGCCTCCCGGCCGCGTGGAGCCTGCCAACACCCCTCTCCCCATCCAGCCCCAGCCTATCCCTCTGCTTGCTCAGGGCTCAGCTCTCAGGTCCCGAAGCCTGGTCCCCTCCCTGCCTCCAGGCCCACCTCCCCAGCTTGCCTGGCCTTCTGTCCACCCCCCACAGGCCTGCCAGCCTCCGACCTCTTCACCACCCCCTCTAGCTGCCCCAGGAGTCCAGAAGCCTGGTTTGGCACAAGGGAACCCCGGCCGGCCTCACCATGAGGATGTCCGCGGTGATGGCCCAGTTAGAAAAGAGCAGTGTCTCCCCGACAAAGATGCAGATCTGTCCAGGAGAGACCACAGCGGCTATCAGGGCCCTCCTCCTGGGGGCTGGCAGGGAGCCCCCCAGGCTTCCCACCCCTCCCTGGGGCCTGCATGTCTGGGCACTCAGGCTCACAGGAGTCTGCAGAATACAGAGGGACCTCAAGGCAGGCTGGGAGCTCGAAAAGACGCCCAGGGCCCTGGACAGAGCAGGGGGAAGGGCGGGCAGCCAACGACGGCCTCCCCGTGGGGAGGAGCCCCGCGAGCCAGACTGCACGTCCCACACCCTCGCGCCCCCCCCGCCTCCCCCACGGGCGCGGCCCCCCCACCGCACTCACGTAGGCGCCCACGATGCTGCTCTTAGCCGCCACAAAGATGAGGCAGATGAAGATGGCGGAGCCCAGCATGCCCACCGCGCACACAAGTGGGTCGGCCCTCTGGGTCCGCAGGCGGCACCACCGTGTGGCTCCCGCCCCCGTGAGCACTCCCAGAAAGCCGGTGAAGCAGGTGATGGCCCCGAAGATGAGGCTGCGGGGACAGAGAGCAGGGGGCCAGGGTCAGTGGGGGTGGGTGCGAGCCGGGACAGGGGGACCGCCACCCGCGCCCCTGGCCGGCCCCACCTGTCCCTGGCCCCGCACGGCGGGCTGCCGCACGTCTCTGCTGTCTTCTGCACGACCTGAGCGCGGTGCAGGTACAACGGGATCCACATGCCCAGGGCTCCTGTGGCGAAGGACACGGCCGACGTGGCCAGGGAGGAGAAGACGTAGCTGCGGCTGGAGAGGGGCAGGGGCAGCGGCACTGAGCGAGGCCCCCGAGCCTGTCCCCGCTGTCCCCACGGGCTCGGGCTGCAGGGGTGAGGAGCACTGCCCCATGGGCAGCCTGGCAGGGAGGGTCCTCCGCCCACCCAGACCCCTCCCGGCTGCACTCACTTGCGGATCAGGGCCTTCATGTCACGGAGCCACGAGCTGTGCACCCTGACCTGCCCCCCGAGCTGGTCGGCGTGGCCTCTCTTGGTGGCTGGGACCAGGATGAGGATGAGCGTGCCTGTGATCATGCCCACGATGGGGGACACCTGGTGGGGCGGGAGCACAAGCTGGGACCCCAGGCCCCTGGGCGTCATCTCGGCGGAGCTCCCCGGGGGCGCCCGCTGGGCTGTGCAGGAGGAGGACGGACGGAAGGAGAATGCACAGACTGCGGGATGAGTTAACGGGCGGAAGACAGAAAGATGGATGGTGGACAGGACAAGGACCGACGTGCAGAGGGACTGACTTTGGAGCCACGAAGAGGGTGGGGGCCCGGGGAGGGTTCCCACTGCTGATCAGGAGGGGCCCACGCCATCGTCCCCGAGGGCAGCCAAGGTCGGGAGCAGAGCCTCTAGGACACCCGCCTCCCCCACCCGCTGGACAGGCCTGTCCCCACCCACCACACGCGCCCCATCAAGAAATTCCACGGAGGCTGCTTCCTTCCTGCTTTTGAGGAAAAAACACTTTGTCTTAAGCTTCCGTTCCTCCACGGGACGGGGCATCTCTGTTTCCTCTGATCGCGCCGTCCTGGGGCCTTGGCGGACTCGCCTGAACCCTTGCTCGGGGCAGGAAGGGGCTCCAGACCCTGGGGGCCCCTACGCAGAGGTCAACTGGGCCCCCGCTAACCCGGGGCCGGGCTGGAACGGGATGCGCCCTCGCAGACCCGGAGTGTGCAGACGCGCGGGAGGCCGTCCCTCGTCCTGTCCGAATGGGCCTGGCTCCCTCACGCCCCCAGTATGCTGGTCTTGGGGGCAAGTCCCCGGGGACCCTGGGCGGGGGCCGGTCGGCAATGTCCTTACCCGCAGGGCCCAGTGCCAGTCTCCGGCCGCCTGCTTGACGCTGGAGCCCGTGATGTAGCCCAGGCCGCTGCAGAGGAGACGGCACGGTCAGACCGCAGCGGGGCGGGGGTGCCCACCGGTGTGTGAGGCAGCGTCCGCCCCCCCACCGCCCCCTGCTGGCGTGGCCCGAGGACGGCCTCCACGGGGCCAGGTCATGGAGCCCCAGCCTCAGGGAGGGGGCCCTCACCTGCCCAGCGGGATGGCGAAGTAGAAGACGGACAGCATGAGCGTGCGCGTGTTCTTGGTGAAGAGGTCGCCTATGATGGTGGGCGCGATGGTGGAGTAGCTGGCTTCTCCCAGGCCCACCAGCCCCCGGGACAGGACCAGCAGCCAGAAGTGCTGCGGGAGGGCAGACAACATGGGCTCCCCTCAGTGTCCAGGCCGGGGCAGCGGGCAGGGGCTGAGCCGGGCCCCAGCTGCTCTGGCCAGGATGGCTGCAGGGAGATGGCCACGCGTGTGGCCCAGACGGACCCCCGGGGTCTGCCCTGCCTGCCCCCAAGAGCAAGACCTCCTGCCTGGGCCCTGCCCCACCTCGGGAGCCACACGGCCCCCCTCACCCCCAGGCCAGGCAGCTGGTGGGCTCCGTGCTCACCCCACACACACACACTTCAAAGAGCAAAGCCCAGCTGAGCTGGGCAGGGAGGGGCCGTGCCAGCTGCCAGGGTCCTCCCCTTTGATGTGGACCCAGCCCCTCCGTCCCCCCGGCTGCCCAGGGCCTGAGAACCCGGCCCGGTCATCTTTCCCCAGCCCCACCCTGACCACCCATCCGGCCAACCTCGCCCACATGCTGCCCTCCTCCGGGTCTCCCGCTTCCTTCCCTCCGTCTGCCCGTCTCCATCCGGGCCCGCCCCCTGCAGCGCCGGACGCCCATCCAGCCCCGTGCCTTGTCTCCATCTCTGTGTCCCCCACACCCTTGGTGCAGCCCCTCTCTCCAGGGCTCTGCTGCCCAGTGCCTTCGCCTACTTTGCTGCTGGCTGGCCGTCTTGTCCTGATTTCTATGAGCATTTAGGGATCGTGCGTTTGGACCCTTGACGACATACGTGATGAGCGTCGTTTGTCACCTTCCTTCTACTCCGATTGCGGGGTCTGTGTGACCCGACGCTCTCCGGCCCGGCGATGGCCCCCGCTGGCCTCTGGACCGCTCACCTCGCTCAGGAAGGCCTGCCCCATCCAAGACGATGACAATGCTCCCTAATGCGCCATCTGCTGGGTCTCAGAGATCTCCTCATTGTCCTTAGCACGGGAGGGTAGGGGCCATCCCACGCCCCCCCGGAAACCCGTGACACGGCGCCACCTTGTCCCCACACACCGGACACCGAACGGCCCGTGTCCCCCGTGTGCATTCAAAACGCATACCCCAAAGTGTCCGTCCCGTGCCCCCTGCCCCATACTTCGCCTTGCCCTCCTTCACGCATTCCGGAAGCCCGTTTGCGTGGCTCAACGCAGACACAGTTCACGGTCCCGCTGCCAAGTCTCTCTGTGGGAACGCGCCTGCTTCGTCCTGCGTGTCCCCTTCTGCTCCAGCCCCTCACGAGCACCGTGCCATGCAGTGTCCACGGGCCGGAGTTGCTCTCCTGGGCGCGCAGGTGGCTGGGGCGCACGTGGCAGGCTCCGAGGAATCCTGGTGCTTTGCTCTCCGGAGGGGCCCTGTCACCGCGCCCGTAGCAGCTTTGATCACACTTGGTAGCGGCGGCCTTCCCAACAGCTGCCCATCGGAGGGGTGTGAAACGGCATCTCATTGTCGCTGGGATTTGCATTTCCCCAGGGATGGGAGTCGGGCACCGGCTCCTCCTGGAGTCGTGGCCTTCTCCACCCTCTGCCCGCAGTCTTGCCGGGTTCTTTGGCCTTCTCACGCAGATTTATAGCCCTGGACTTTTATACTTTGCTTTCCACTCTATTTTCATCTGTCTGGACTGATTTTGCGAGACGGTCTCCCTTCCATCCAGACGGACTGGCAGCACTGCCCGAGCCGCATGTGGCATACCTGTCCCCGAGCCTGGGCCCCCGCGGGAAGGGCGTCTCTGTCGGCCCGCTGTGTGGATTAGGGGAGCGCACCGTGGAGACCGACGGGGCGAGCCCCTTCCACGGTCACTTCTCACCAGGTTCTTGGCTGTTCCTGAGCGTTTCTTCTGCCAAATCAACTTCAGAATCACACTGCCAAGGCCATGAAGGACCCCCACGGGGCTCAGACCAGGCGTGCAGTGAGTCCACAAACTGGTGACCCGTCCGTCCGCCTCCGCCCACCCTCCTGCACCTCCAGAGTTGCTGGCATGGCGGTCCCGGACTCACGGCTTCATCCCAGAAGTGGCGCGGTGGGTCAGAGGACCAGCGCCCTGGCTGGGGCAGGGCAGGGCCCAAAGGTCCCCAGGAGGCATCTGGTCCAGGCCCCATTTTTTATTGTGATCCAGAGCCCACCAGCACCTGATCCTCCTCCAAGAAGTTGTACCCCAAACCTGCTGGATTTCTGCCTCTGCTCCAGCCTCTCCCCAGTCTGTGTCCCTGTGACTCACCCCTGCCCTCAGGACGGAGACCAGACCCTCTAACGAGGCATCCGAGGTTCTCCATGACCTGGTCCCTGCCTTCCTTTCCTGCCAAAACACTCTCCTCATTTGGGGACCCGCCCACACACCGCACCATTACTGCTGCCATGGGTTTGTGCCCTCTTCCTATCCCACCCAACAAAAAGCCTCACCTCCCTGCCTGCCTTTCCAGCTCAAGGGCCACCTCCTCCAGGAAGCCTTCCCTGACCCCATGGAGTTCCAGAGACCACTGTCTCTTCGGTGAGAACTCTCAGCCCTTTGCACATCATGAAGTCTGTGAGTGTGGGGGCCCCACCCCGTCTTCCCACGCCCAGCCTGCGTGCTCCCGAGGACGGGGAAAGGGTCTTCTCCTTTATGTCCGAGGCTGAAAGCTCCTGGAAGACAGACCCTGGTTCTCTCCTTCCTCTGTCCTCCTCCACAGCAACCGCCATGCTCGTGTCCTTCCTCTGCTGGAACACGCCTAGTGATGGGAACTCACTCCCTCTCAGAGCAGCGTGTCTCCCTCGCGGAAGAGAGAACAGAAACTACGGTTTGTTGAACCCGCCATGTTCCAGGCTCTGGACACAGTGACACTTCAAGCTGTGAATTCCTTCCATTCCTCAGATGCAGAAATGAGGCTCTCCAGGTCACAGGGCTGAAGGGACCACGGAGTCGGGACATTCAGACCCAGGACCATGGCGGCTGGTGGAGAAACATCTTTCTTATGTGGAGGTGATGCTGGACGCCCTTGAACTCCATCCCGAGCAGTCAGCTGGTTACTGGACAAAGCAAACTATGTATGGGACGCCTGGAGGGTCAGGCAGTAGAGCACATGTTTCCTGGCCTCTGGGTCATGAGTTCAATCCCCAACTTGGGCACAGAGTTTACTTAAAAAAAAAAAAAAAAAAAAAAAAAAAAAGCGAACTGTGCAAGGCACAGAGAGGCACAGTGACTCACCTGGAGTCACACAGCAGGATGATGGCAGAGCTCGGACTAGAACCAGAGGGCCCTGACTCCTAGACCAGAAGGTTCTGCTGTTCCTTACCTCCTCCCTGAATCAGAGGCAGCTCGGAAAGAGGAGGCCACGCAGGGCTCCAGGTCCCCTGGCTCCGGCCAGCACAGGGAAGACCATCCCTATCTGCATGACCCGCTTACAAAAGTACCCGAGACCCCTCAGTCCACTGCACTTGGAAGACAGACACCTGGGGCTCCAGCCGAGGCTGCACCCCAGTCCGGACGAGGACAGTCAATGAGAGGTGGCGGCCCTGGAGGGAGCGGGGCGCGCGGCGGGACTGCGGGGATGCCGGGAAGGAAGCCTGACAGGCCTCACCTGCTGGGGGATGAAGGAGCTGGAGAAGGTGACCGCGGACCAGAAGAAGATGCCACAGCTGAGAATCACCTTCCTGTTGAAGCGGTCCCCCAGGTAGCCGAAGACGGGGGCGGCCACCATGAAGCTGCAGATGAACACTGCAGGGGAGAGGGAGAGCATGATGGGGCGCCCATGGCCACAGCCGGGTCCCCACGCCACCTGCCAAGCCCGGGGTCCGGGGACAGCCCTCGACCGGGACCAGGGGCCCAGGAGAGGTGAAGGGTCCTACTGCCCCACCCGCTCTGCCGCAGGCCCGGCTGGTCCAGTGGGCAGCCCTTGCAGAACTCGCCAAACAGCAAAGATGGATTTGTTGAGTGTGGTACGTGCCAGGAGCCGTGCCGGGAGCTCACCACCCGGCATCATGGGTGTGCCCCAGACCGCCGCACCTCACAGAGGTGGGAAACAAGACGTGCCCAGGGCCCCACTGGCAGCCAAAGTCCCGTGTGCTTTGATCCGGACTCTGGAGGCTGCTCCTTGCACCTCCCACATTGCTCCCCTTATTAGCCTTGGGAAAGAGGGTCAGAGAGGGGAAGGGACCTGCCCAAGGTCAAAAAGCAACGTACGAGTGGGCCCGGAGCCCCGGTCTCCCACTCTCACTCCCAGCGGGCTGTCGACACTTCCCTGACCTCCGCAAACAAGGCCTTTGTTCATTCACTTGTCCATCCGTTCAACGAAACAGACAAAAATTCCCGCCCTCTTCGGCAGGAGAAACCGAAGATCAAACAAAAACTGGTGTGTCAGACGGTGACAAGTGCCAAGAAGGGTAACAGGGCAGAAACAGGAGGCGGGAAGTATGTGTCTAGAGACAAAGCAGGTGCTACGACTTTAAACAGAAGGGTCAGGGAAGGTGACACTTCAGCACAGACCTGGAGGAGGTCAGAAAGCAAATCCTGTAAATACTGGGGCAAGAACAACAAGTGCAAAGGCCCTGGGGCAGGAGTACGCTTTGTACATCTGAAGAACCGTGAGGAGGCCAGAGTGGCTGGAGCAGAGGGATGGGTTGCAGGGGGGGGAGCGGCCAGATGGAGCAGGGCCTTGCGACCCACTGTGGTGACTGTGGTTTCCACGGCTGAGAAGGAAAACACTGGGGGATGCTGAGCAGGGCAGTGACGTGACCTGGTTTTACTCTTCTAGAACAAGAGAGCAGCAGCGTCTCCAAGGACTCCGTGGGGATGCCACTGCTGGCGCCGGGTAGGGCCTTGGGGCCCCAGGTGGGACGAAGAGGCCCAGCCGGGCAGCATACACCCTAGGGGCCAGGGGTCAAGGCCACTCCCCCACGCTTCCCCCAGAGACCGTCCAACAGTTGACGGGCAGATGGCCAGACAAAGGCCAGGGGTGGGCAGATGAGGTGGCCAGCGGGCCGGGCTCTGACCGCCAGGCCGAGTGCGCAAGCAGACTTGGTGTCTCCCTCAGACCTGATCTGGGCAGAGGCAGGCGGGAAGAGAAAGGGGGTGGCGGGAAGGAGGGACAGGGAGATCGCGGGGAGAGGGCTGGGTTGGAGGAGGGGGACAGTGTCCCCCTCGTCCTGGTGAGCAGGATGGTGAGCGTGTGGCTGCTGGGGACAGAGCCAGCATCAAGGGCCATGGGTCTGGGCACCAGAGACCCTCCCTGGGCCCAGAGTCCGCTGTTCCTTCCCAGCTGGGTGACGGTGGGCAGGCCTCCACCTCTCTGTTCAGGGCCATACTGATGGCTTTCCAAAACAGTGGGGGTGTAGCGGGGGACCTTGACGGGTGGGATTTGCCAGCTGGCGTGGTGCAGAGACGCCCACCACGGTTGACCTCAGGCTGCCAGAGTCAGGGGGAGGTGTGCACCACATGCTTCCTTCCGCTGAGCCAAGCCGGGGCAAGGGCGGGCCACAGCCTCACCAACACCAGGACGGCAGGAGGCTGCAAAGCGGGGAGGGAGGGATCTGGGTATCTGCTATGTGGGTTCTGAACGCAGGATGTTGAACCCTGGGTCTGCACGATTCAGCCGCTCCTGACGGCTGTGTGCAACCACTGGCTCACACAATTCCTGAAACTCTAACAACAGCCTCTCACGTGCCAGCCTCTTCTTCTGTAAAACAAAGATAAAACGGCAACTCCGGGGTTGCTGAGAGCGCAAGGTAAGATAGCGCCTGAGGAGCCTGATGCCACGCCCCGCACAGGGCCCACAGCCTTGGTCAACACTGAGCTCTTGTTTAGGTTAGTCAACACAGAAATTACTTCCTCATATCTAGAAAAAGAATTTTCCTGCTGGGCCTGCCTCCCAGGACCTGCCTGAGATCAGACCAGGATGTGGGCCTCATCAGGACTCACATGTATTAGGGGAGGAGAAGGAACCGTTCCTTCTATGCCTGTCTGTGCTGGGGGTCGCGGGGGGGGGGGGGTTGGCAAAAAGAATCAGATCAAGAGTGACCCCTGTCCATGAGTTGCCCTGTTTGGAAACCAGTGAGGAGGACAAGGATCGTGAAAAGAGGCTTCGTGGAGGTGGTGACACCAGAGCAGGGCTCTAAAGGGTGCATAGGAGTTTACCGGGATGATAATACTTAAAATCAAGACTATTCTTACACCACCAGTCTTAGAAGCAATACCGCAGGAAGGTGAAGGTGGCGGGGTGCTTCCCATTACCAAGAACCTCACTTCCCGTTGGTGGCCCAAGCACACGCCTTGGACCTCAACACCAGTCACCTCACTGCCCCACACTCTTCTCTTCACCCGACAGGAAGGTACAGAGGCCAAAAGGAGTGAGGTCATACAGCTTGCAGGGCGGCCAAGCCAGAGGTTAAATCCCATTTGTCTAACTCCAGGGTCCTCGCTCTAAATCACACTACAGACCCCAGCACGGGGAAGGGGGACTGCAGGAAGGTAGGCCAGGCCAGAGCAGGGGAAGGTGCTGGAGGAGCCCGTGGACAACCATGGCATGTCTGCTCTTCCCCTTCGAGGAGAGGGTGGACGGACCCAAGGGGAGAGCTGCCCCGGGCCATCCCCACCCACCGCCTGCCACAGAGCGGACCTCAGGCTATTTGCCGGCCCGTCTGAGAGGATGGCCGCTCAGACACAGCCTGTCCTCACGGCCCAGCCCCAGCCGAGCTCCACTGTGTCACCCTGTTATAGAGCTGGGCCACTGACAGGAGGAACTCGCCCAAAAGGACACAGTGACCCTCCTGAGCCTGCATCCTCGGGGACAAGGGTGTCCGGGGTCAGGAGGGACAGATCCATCTGTCTCTGCAGCCCTCCCCTCTGCTCGGGACAGATAAGAGAGGGGACCCGCCCAGACCCTCAGGGACGTCGTAGGGTGGCGTGGGGTTCCGAACACAACCAGGGCAGGGAGAAGAGGAAAACCGCGGCCAGCAGGAGGACCGGCAGAGGGGACCTGGTCCCTGGCGGGTGTGCAGAGGCTTCTGGCCAGCGGCCACGGGCCGGGGGTGAAGCCGGCTGGGCGTCCCCTGCCCACGCCCCCCCCCCCCCCCCCCCACCTTCGCTAGAGGAGAGCTTTCTGCGCAGCCAGGCGGCCCCACCCGGTCTCAGCGGGACGGCTTTCCCAGCAGTTCCCACACGAGGACATCCTGTGGTCCGGGTGTGGGGAAGCCCTCGGCAGCTCACGTGTGCTGAGCCCACAGGACGGGGACAATAGGGCCCGCGGGCAGGGAGCCAGGCCAGAGGGGGCAGGGCCTCGGAGCCTCTCTGTGGGACGGGTGGTGCCCCTGCCATGCAGGGCCAGGGAGAGCTCAGGGAGGGGCTGCCCAGGCCCCTGACCTTCTCTGCGGGCCCACACCCAAAGCCCGGGACCACGCCGCTGAGCATTCGGAGCCCCTCTGACCCCACCTGTGGGGCTGTCGAGCCCTTCTCGGGGCGCGCTCGGCCCTGCTGATCCCCAGAAGATGGTCCTGGGGCCGGAGCAGCTGAGGTCTGGGCTGGGGGACCCGGGCTTCCCCACAGTGGCCCTGGAGCTCGGATCCAGCCCCCACCGCAGCCTCAGCTGAACGAGGCTATTTTTACAAAGTCCAAATCTGGCCCAACTGTTATTTGGGGAGACTTGCCATCCTTCATCTCCTGTGGGCAGGGAAGTCACTCAGGCGGGCTCTGCCCACAGGACGTGGTGGACGGAGGCCCAGGCAGCCAGACGACGGGGAGGACCCAGGACAGCCCAGCCCCATCACCGTGCAGACTTCCTGCAGAGAGAATGGGAACCACTCCTCCCTCCCACTGCTCAGGACAGACACCCTGGGCTGGCCCCTCAGGCCTCAGCTAGATGGGTTCTTGGGCCTCCCTGGGAAAGGACGGGGCCGGGGGCAGCCTTGCTGGATGAAGTGGGGAGGGGAAAAGGCCAGAAGGAGACGGCCCCGAGGCAGAGCTGCTGTCTGGTTTCAGTCTGAGCTGGCTCTTCCTCTGTCCCCCGTCCCCACTCTGCCCCGACCCCATCCTGGAGCATCCTCGTGACCACTCCGACCACAGCCCTGGGCTGCCTCCCCCTCCCACCCACCCCCACACTGAGCCCCAGAGAGACCATCCCGACACCTCTGTCGCACAGGGACCTGCCTATCCCAAAGCCTTCTCTGGCCCCCCACCATCCCAGGACGAGAGCCAGATTCCTTATGCGACGTGACCCTGCCCTCTGCCCAGCCTTCCCTCCCTCCGCTCCCCCACAGTCCAGTCCCTGGAGCCTGAAGCCCGCTCCCCTTCCCCGACTGGCTGCCTTACAGAGGCCCGTCTTCTGATTTGCTAATTCTCTCTTTGACTGGGTCTAATTGCTCCAGTGTTGAATTTCAGTGCCTACCTTCTCACTTCCAGAATTTTGAGCTGAGTCTTGGAAGGAGCTCCCCGTTCCTTCTCACTAAGGTGCTGCCCCTGTCTTTTAAGTTCGACTCTTTCTGTGCCACCTTGGAAATGGAGCTCATGCAGCTTGGACGCCCTGAAGGCAGACCTAGTGCCTGTACTTTGCTTAGGGATCAGTTTCCCCATTTTCCAGCCTCGGCTGGCCGCCTCCTTGCAGGCTCTGCCCATTTTCTGTTTGACTCTGTCCTCGGCAGGCACTGCCATCTATGTCCCACACAGGCCCCGGGTCACGGAGCCTTCCCCATGGAGCAGCTAGGTCTGCCTCTGGGGGGTCCTACATGTGGAAGGGCCTGGACCCTTCTGGCCCACGGATGTGTGCCCTCACAGACAAACTGTCACTGGCCTGAGGGCGCAGCCAGACATCAGGGAGCTTGCCCTGGGCTCTGAGGGGTGACCAGGTCACCCACACGACACTGGAAGCCGAGGCTGCATGAGCCGATCCTCAGAGCCGGGGAACCCCGGAGCCTGGGTCCTGGACTGGCAGACGGTCCCATGCATCTGGGCGAGAGCTCTGTGGAGCTTCCTGGCGCCGCTCTCCCTGCTTTTGATGTGTATTTAAAATTCTTCATCGTAAAAATGTTTACACTAAAAACACCGTCACAAGCTCCGGCAACAGATCCCGGCCGCCGGGTGCACTGGCCCACTTGGCTTCCATACCAGCGCCCACCCTGTTTTTGGGTCCAGGTCTCTGCGTTGGCCCTGGAAATCCCCCTGCTCACTTGGGCTTTCAGGCTCAGCTACGTAAGGTACCCGAGCAAACGCCCACTCACCCTGCCGAGCCCCACTCGCATGTCCCCTCCTCTGGGAAGGCCTGCCCACCTGCCCCCAGGCAGAGCTAGCTGCCCCCTTGCTCTGTCCCCATCCCACCCCAGGCCCCAAGGTGCTCCCTATGCCTGGTGGCGACTGGACATGTTTTCTGTTCCCACTGGAAAGCAGGGACAGAGACTGGGGCAGAGCCCAGCCCAGGGCCTGGCCAGCAGTGGGCTGGGCAGCAGCTGCCCCTCAGGGGGTAGGCTCTGCAGGCTCCTGGTTTCCCAGGGTGGCATGAGCTGTAATCATAGAGGCTGAGCTGCTGCTCCTCCCTGGACTCGGGGCCCGGCTCCCACCTGGCAGCCCTCTGCCCAGGGATTGCCAAAAGCAGGCTCTTCCCAAGCCGGCTCTCAAGATTGGGTCCCGGGGAAAGGCAGGGGCAGGCCCAGGCCTGACCCCCGGCTCTCCCCACCCCATCTCCGAGCACAGCAGCCCCCGGGGCCCACAGACAAGCAGCAGACTCTGCTCGCAGCCTCACCCTTTGATCTGGGCGCCTCCACCCGGCTCTGACCTTATCAGGGGCTCGGGGAAGAGACAGGTGCCCGGGGCCCAGGCCTGTTAGCTGATTGGCCTCGTTGCCCACTGAGTCACATCCTGGTCTAGCTTGCCCGGCTTCTAGGCTCCGGGGCCCGCCCGGTAGCACCGGGGAGCGGGTGTTAAGGCAAAGGTCATGGGGGTACAGGACTCTGAGAGACCACCGCCCAGAGAACAGGGATAACAGAAGCTCAGATGCTGGGGACAAGACCCGGACAAGCCAGCAGCCACCTGTGTGCCCTCCGCACCTGGAGAGTGTGGCACACACGGGGTCCCCATCCCAGGCCCGCACATCCTCGTGGCTCCTCTCGGTCTCTGCCCCTTCGTCGGGGACATAAAGCTGCAAAGAGAGCTTCTGGGAGGAGCAGCCAGAGATGAGGACGCTGCTGGCTGTTTGTCCCCCTCCAGCCAGGTCCCCGGGGGCCAGCAGGGGCCGCCGTGACTTCCCTCTCTCAGCCAGGGAGGTGGCCAAGGACACATGGCAACAGGCTCTCCCGGGGAGGCTGTGCGGGCCTCAACCTCACCGGTGGGGCTTGAGTGCAGGGAGCCAGGGCAGACCTGGCTCCTGGTCGGTCGGCAAGGCCAAGGCCAGGAGGGGAGGAGACTCGGCCTGGTCCCCGGGACTCAGGGGCCACAGAGTGGGGGTGGCTGGAAAGCTGGGCTGTCTCCTGCCTTCCCAGCCCCACCCCCCACTACATCCGGCCGAAACACTCCCTTCCAGGCTGCGTGGTGGTTACTGTGTGCTCAGAGCCTGGGAGGTGAGCCGCACCTGTCCTGGGGGTGGCTGACTGGCTCTGGCCCAACTGGGAGGCCCGGCCAGAGGGAAGGGCCAGGGGACGGGTGTGGGCTCATGTCCTCAGCGTGGTGCTGGGGGCAGTGGTGGGGATTGGCTGCCCTTAGGGGGCCGGGCCCCCGAGCCTTGCCCCTGCCCCAGCTCACTCAGCTGTCTGTCGGGCTGAGCCCTGTAACCACCAGGCCCTCCCTTTGTGCCCCAAGGACCCTACCTGGGAACGGGCCCAGGCTGCAGGCCCTGGCTGAGTGGTGATGCTCTGGGGGCTCATGGAGGCCATGGAGGCCTGGCACAGCCCTCCCTGGAATGCCACCGAGACAGGTCAGGCAGGTTTCTGGACAGGGCCGGCTCCCTCTACTCCGCCCTCCCTGGGGTGCCCAGGCCGGGCAAGGGGTTCACACTCTGGAATGCACACCACGGACTTCCTCCCACACATCTGACCACGACTCCAGGGCCAAAGGGAACTGGAGCCAAAGGAACTGGGCCCTCAGCCACAGAGCCAGCTTGGGACACTGGGTGGGTCAGGCAGGGGCAAAGGACACATGGGACCGGCCGCAAGGGGCAGATAGGCAGGGACAACGGCTCACGGCCTGCCACACTGCCCCAGCCCAGGGGGCGGAGGACATCACGCCCAGAACTCACCCAGGAGCCAGGCTCTCAGGCCCCTGCCTGGGACCGGCCAAGGGGATTTCCTGCTTTTACATCTGGGAGAGGATTCCCAGCCCAATGGGTGATGGAAGCAGTTGGGGCGGGGGGAGGGGTGTGCTGCGGAGACATGGTCACCAAGTTTCCACCGACACCATCCTGCACAGCAACCTAATGAAGTCCCTCCAGTAACCTCAGGGTGGACCCTGGACCACCAGCTCCAGAGGAGGCCCCAGACCCCAAAGGAAGGGTCACCTCCCGGGCCCCGGACCTGGGCCACACCCTGTCTGTCCCCCACTGACCCCTCAGACTATTCTTTGTCTGTTTTACAAGAAAGAGGGAGAGGCTCGGGGAAGCTATCTTCTAGGAGCCTCAGCCATGAGATGTGGACACGAAGCACACGTCCCTTCCCGAGAGTCAGAGAGACGCCAGCCGGGCCTGTGGGGGGCGGCGGGGCCTCACCTGACTGCAACAAGCCGGCTCCGCGGTCCTTGACCCCGAAGTGCTGCTGGATGTCCAGAAGGACGCCTGTGAGGGGAAGACAGAGGGTGCTTACAGGTCATGTCTGGCCTCCCCTCTCCCCCCGAGCCACACCCGGCCCTCTGTCCCCAACCCGGCTCCCACCTGCCGGCCTGGAACTCCCACCCGCCCGTGGCCCTGCCCTCAGGGGAGGCCACAAAGCCCCCGACAGTCACTAAGGAGGCCTTCCAGCCCAGGAGCAGGCAGAGGGGTCTCAGGCCGCGCTCACACCCCCTCCCCTGCACGTGCACACACCCCCCGGGCTGTCCCCGGGGTGATCACCAGCACCCCCACTCTCCCGACACCAGAGCTGAGGTGCCCAGGGAAGCAGGCGGGGCTCCAGGCTTCCTGTGGGGAAGGGGACCCCTCGAGGCCTTGCTGGCCCTTCTCCCAAGTCCCAGCCATCTCTACTCTCCCATGAGGACTCAGCATGTCGGGGGGCGAGCGAGCGGTGGAGAAGGGGCACAAGCAGGAGAGCTAACGTCAGCAGCAACGGTGGGCAGACAGCCACGGCCACACGGGCCAGCCAGCTCCTGCACCCCGCTCCCTCTCCCAGTGCTCCACCGGGCTCCTGAGCCAGGAGACCCCCAGCCCTGCTTCTCACAGAGGACCGCGGAGGGCTGGGCCCCCACATATGTGCACGGAGAAGGGACGGGGAGAGAGGAGGAGAAGCCCCCCACGCTGAGGAGATGACAGGGCCTGCCTGCGGGGGACTTCTGGCCCTCGTCACGATGATAGTGAGGACGATGGAGCCCACCTCCACGCCGTAACTGGTTTCCCGGCTCAGGCCCCACGCGACCCTACGAGCCCGGCCCACAAGGCCGGGACTCTCCCCCACCCCCAGACAGACAGGGAAACCAAAGCAGGGGGAGCTCAGCCCCGTGCCCCAAGTCACACAGCAACGACGTGGGCAGAGCCGCAGCCCCGAGCCTGCCGGAGGCACCTGTTGGCGGCTGTCCCCCCCCCCAAGAGCCATTTCCTGGGATGCGGCCTGACAACTGAGAAACACTGGCCACCTCCTTGTGAACGCCGAGTGGATTTGCCATAATTACCCATAATGAAGAGGCTGTGTGAGGCCCAGTTAATGACTTAATAACCAAGGCGGGCTGTGGCCATGCCCCGAAGGCGGAGGCCGGGGGCCTGTCTGGGGCCTGCGGACGGTAGGGCTACCAAGGGGCCCCATCTCGGGGAACCACCTGTGCTCACCTCCCAGCCCCACAGACTGTTCGTGCCCACTCCCAATCCGAGCCCTCCGTTCCCCACCCTCTCTCAAGCCGCCAGCCTCTCCCGTGGCTCCCTAGTGCCTCAGACAAGGACCCTGGCCTTCACCAGGCCACAGGCTGCAGGTTCAGCCCCTCCAACCCCACGCCAGCCACACTCCTCGGAATACCACCGCCCCCGTGTCCCGCTGCAGCCCCCAGGCTCTCCGAGGCCCCCTGACCGCCCACCCATCCCCATCCACCCTGGGGACTGTGCTGTTCCGGCCACTCCTTCAAGACTAGTTCAAGCACCTCCTCCGTTGGGAAGTCTTCCCGGTTTCTCCCCTCCCATCACCCTCAATAAGTCAGGTGCCCCCATGCGCCCCTGCCCATTCTTGCTTTAGCCCTTGTCACACTCAGATTAGCGAGTTCTATGGGGAAGGCGCCTAGGGACATGGATACGCGGTCTCTGGGTTCACCGCTGCTGGGACCTAAGGGCCACCAGGTGTGGTCGCCACTAAGGTCTGAGCACCATGAGAGGCTCTGAACGTGCTCCTTCTAACCCGCTGCTACCTAGGATTTTCGACCCCGTGCTGCATGTCACGTTAGTCACCCAGCACGTCAGGGTCGGAGAGGAGATGGGAGACCAGGTCTATTAGCAAACACCGAAGCATGTCCTTCGGCCTCTGCATGTCCCTTGCTCTCATCGGCCCCCGGCCCAGGGCGCAACACCCAGCCAACCCACACAGCCAGTTGTGGACAGAGAGAGTGAGTAAGTGGACGCTCCATGCCCCCCTCCTGCAGGAACTGCTGCAGAGTGGTGGGAGGGGGGGTGACAGGTCATCTGCAGCCCCCAGAGGAGACACGTCACAGGTTCCGTGTGCTTACAGACAGGTGCAGTGGGGGGGGTGTCCCAGGGCCCCTGCAAGACGAGGGCAGGGGGCCGCCCTGGGGGAGGCAGGCCATAGCAAGACGGTCGTCATGAAGATGGCATATGTCCCCAGCAAATCAAACACTCCTGCATCTTCCCTGGGGCACGTTCTGCCTAGCCCCCTGACTAACCATGCCTCACCCCTGCAGCTCTTCAAGTCCCAGAGTATGCCTCTGCCTCCAGGAAGCCTCCCCTGACTACCTCTGATGCACAGGGCTCCTGGGAAGGGGGAAGGACACTTTTCCACATCTAGACGGACATCCTGGGAACTCCTGGACGGCCAGAGCCCAAGACAAAGGAGCTCAGCACCCCAGGGCCTGGGCTTGTGTCCACAGCCTGAGCTCCAAGAAGAAACTTCCCTGGGAACAGGGCTTCGTGGAAGCTGTAAGGGGCCATTTTCCCTCTTAGTGGCCAGGAAGGGGCTATGGCCACAGGCGGGTGAGATCCGCTGGCCGCTGGCTCGGGAAGCATGTGTCACAGCAGCCTGCCGGTTGTCTCGGATTTTCCTCTGGGCCCCAGCCTGGCTCAGGCCCACACACCCCTCCCTTCTTCCCACCACAGCCTTATTTTTAGCCTCTTTCCTGGAGGCTGAGGTTTGGTGGGGTCACAGGACAGGCCTCCCGCCCAGGAGCAGCCTCCTTGGCCCAGGCCAAGCCCCTGTACCAGCCTGGGGCGTGCCAAGTGGGGCCCCCAGCCACCCCACAGCCACAGCTGCCAGTCCAGCCCCTCAACCCACAGTCAGGATCATCCCACAGGGGCCTCCTCCCTGGCCCAAGGAAATGCGCTCACCCACTGACCCCCAGTTACACTCCTCCCAAGCACCAACCAAGGGTCTCGCCTCTCGTCCAAAGCCAACCGTCCCTACTGCCCCCTGGGGACGCTGCCCTGGGGCGCCCCTGGCCTGGGCCTCCCTTCTGCCTCCTGCACGGCAGCCCCTAGTCTTGTCCTGGTGGTGGAAACGGTCCTGGCTTGCTCCCTCTGCCAGCCGCTCCTCTCTCTCCCTCCTTCATAGCTGAGTTTGTACAAGAGTCCCCCCATCCCCAACTCAGTGTCCTCCTCTCCATGTCTCCCCCGAAACCAGCCTTCCTGGTGGCTTGGCCCCACCCTCCTCCCCATCCCCAGAGTGGCTCATGGCGCTCCCCAGCCCAGAGCCCCCTCACCCCTGCAGCCCCATGAGTGACCCCCAAGAGTCCCCCTTCTTCTGCACCCGGCCTCCTTCTGGGTCTCCAGCACCCCTCTGCAGCCTGACCTTGCCTGCACTGTACATCTCCGCCTGAGTCCCGGGCTCAGGAGCAGACACTGAGGCCCGGGGCCGCCAGCTCTGGCAAGAGCAGTCACCCACAAGTTCCTCTCCGTTCACTGGCCCGACCCCAACATCAGTAATGCTACCCACCACGGTGCTCCCTGGGTTAGCTGAGGGTGACGGCTGCCTCGTGCCACCGCAGTGAAGCCCAGACTTCCAGCACGGGAGGCCCCATGGCCCAGGTCCGCACAACCAACAGTTTAGAGGGGAGAACCGGGACTCACCAACCCGCTGCCAGGGAGACTGGAAGCCACTGGCCAGGCCAGTCCAAGGCCCCTGTGAGATGCACCTCCCAGCCTTCAGGCTTCTGAGCCTTGACAACAGCTGGGCCCTCCTCCTGGGGGCGGGGGGGGGGGGGGGCCGCTTCCACCCGTGTCCAGGGCCAGACCCAAGGTCATGTCTCCCAATTACCCCTGCCTCCCTCCTCTGATGCTCTTGTTGAAGAGTTGACGTGGGAGCTGGTCACAGATATTCACGGTGTCACAGCCCCCGCCACTGCTGGTGCCCAGGAGACCGCAGAGGAGCCAGGTCCGGATCCTGACCTGCTGCAATCACGGAGGCCTCCCCAAGACCAAGGTAGAAGAGGAAATCACACTGACCTCAGGAGCCCCCACCCCAGACCAGCCTCAGATGCAAGGCTGGACCACATGACCCTGAGGTCCCTTCCCGCCTTGTCAGCCAGGGCTGGGCACGCCCCCAAACACAGATGCCCACACCCCACATTCACCCTGCCTTTTTCAGAGCAGCAGACAACTTAGCCGACTTCCCAAGAACACGGCCTCCAGAGGCTGACCATCTGGGTTAAACTCGGCTTCTCCACTTATGGAGCTGACTCTCATTGACTACGACATGGTGCGTTATCACCCTTCCAAGGTGGCAGCGGCTGCGTCCTGCCTGTCCCAGAAGGTTCTGAGCCAAGGAAAATGGAACTTAAAGCAGCAGTATTATACTGGATACACAGAGAACCAAGTGTTGGAAGTCATGCAGCACATGGCCAAAAATGTAGTGAAAGTTAATGAAAACCTAACAAAATTCATTGCCATCAAGAATAAGTATGCAAACGGCAAACTCCTGAAGATCAGCACAATTCCTCAGTTGAACTCAAAAGCCGTCCAAGAGCTTGCCTCCCCTCTGATGGGACGGCCCTAGGCTGCTGTGGCCCTCGGGGAGGAGTGCTCCGTCTGTGCCCTTGGTGTCGCTGATTTGCAACTCTTCACTTTGTATATAGTCCTCTGGTCTATTACACGAAACCTTTCCTTAGACCTATTTTCTAAATGTATATTGAGGCAAAATAAAGCTATTAATTAAAAAAAAAAGACAAATTACTTAACCTGTGTCTGTATCCTCCTCTGTGATAGGTCTTAATTCTAAGATCTGAGTCACCTGGTTGTGAAGCTTCCATGCATTAATCGGTACAAAGTGCTTAGAACATAGCCTGGCACACAACAGGTCATCAGTAAGTTACGAAATGTCCTCAGGGACGGGCGCCTCGGCCATGACCAAAGAGCAGGGCAAAGTCCCCCCTCACAGTTCTTTTCTCCAAAATGGGGCAGACGGCAGGAAAGACAGGGGCTGG